TTCCAACCTGAGGGGCTCATCTTCCAGCATCATATCTTTTAGCCTTTGTTTCTGTCCATGGAGTTTTCTTGGCAAAGATACTGGAGTGGCTTGCCAGTTCCTGCTCCAGGTGGATTGCATTTAGTGAGAACTCTCCACTATGACCTGTCCATCTTGGGTGTCCCTGCACGGCACAGTCCATAGCTTCTCTAAATTACTCAAGCTGCTTCACCACGACAAGGCAGCAATCCATGAAGGTGACTTAATTTAGTCATATGCAAATTGACACCCATTTCATCAATCACTTAATAGCCAATATGTTAAGATTTGGTAGATCTATAGATTGCATTCCTTTAATCTAATGACAGACAAATAAGTAGGTTCTAGATCACAGAATCACAGAGTTGGAAGAGACCACAGGGTCCATCGAGTCCAACCCCTTGCCATGCACGAACTCCATCAAATGAAGCCCAAGATCAAATCAAGCCCACACTCTCACTAAATGATAAAATGGCTAAAAGAGTCTTTCATATTTTGGATACACCATGAGAACACAACACTAACCAGAAAACCCCCAATATTGTTAGAAAAAGAGAAAAACTTAACCCAAGGTGGATCAAATCATAATGGAAGCCAGTTCCTTTTGTTTCCAAGGCCTGTTAATGATAAGACTTTCTGGAGAGATCATTAATTCATATGGTTTATAAGAAGGAAGCAATGTAAGAGTATAGCAACAACGACACACCTGATGACAGATTGATCCGGTATTATTATTTTCAATTTTGTGAGGCCATTCCATGTGATTGGTTTATGTATTTGAAAAGGAGTTCCTTCCTCTATTGTTCTTTATTTTCCTATTTTCTAGCAATCTGAGCATGTTATAAACTGACATGTGTAGAGACAGACAGATACTGCATTTGTGTTCAGTCTAGTTCTGCTCTTCAGCAAAATGTCGGGGTCCTGATTTAAACAATGCTTCTCTAATATTCCTAAAGGAGAGAGTTCTTCCCCCTGCAGCAAGAACAGAGACATTCCATTGCAAACACAGTTTTACTACTTTGCACGTGCTACAACCCACAGTCTTTGTGGCTGAGGGGGGGAAAAAAGTAGACTGCCAAACCAATATTGCAATTCTAAGTGTTCCATTTCCCCATCAGTGTTAATGTCTTTTTCAAGTTGCCATAAAGTGTGCTGCTTATAGTGCCATACCTTTGCAAAGCGTGATGCCTGAAACCTTTAACAAATCAAGAGAAACGGGGACACATGCTTGCTTTAAAAACATACTTATTAAAGAAATATAAAAGTTCTTATGGCTTCTGCTTACTAAAGAGGAGCAAGCTAGGGATCCTGGTTTGGGCATAACACTAAGCCACAAGTGGAATTTACTAGCCACTCCCACTTGCAGAAAGAACCAGACAAGCACAATCAAACAACACCCACCAGGAGACTTCATTGCTGGTTACCATGTGCAAATTATTTATTCATTTATTTATTGAGACAATCTCACCCACACAACCGGATATGAATCTCTTTAGGAAGAGACATCTTAGTATTGACAAGGTGGAGAGTATGTGAGTATGTCCTGCCCACACAACATGTGATCCATGAAGCCAAATGGAAAACACTATTTATAAATGGCAGTACCTTTGCAACCAGAGCTTCCTACCCTTTTTTTTTCGGACTGCCAAGCAGGCTCTAAAACCAGGACCTCCCTTTCATATAGGGCTGCTGGATCAGGAATTACACAGAGCTGGGTTAAAGATATGCACACTGTGTCCCACTCTAACTGAGAACTGAAGGACAAAGAAGATTCAAAACTAGCCAAGGGTCTGTTCATCCAGGATTTGAGAAGAATTCAGTTCTAGCCCACAAAATATATATATTTGGTGGGCTAGAACTGAAAATATATACGTCTCTCTCTCTGAAAATCTCTCTCTTTCTCTCTCTCTCATTAATGCTCAACACTTGATGATTGCTGATTCAAATGGTTGCAACCTCCATGTGGGAAAAAGACCACTGCAAATCAAACACTAAAAGCAAAAAGCAAAGTGTGCTGCTTATATACCGCCCCATAGCACTTCAAGCACTCTCTGGGCAGTTTACAAGTTAATTATGCAGGCTACACATTGCGCCCGCCCCCCCAGCGAGCTGGGTACTCATTTTGCCAACCTCAGAAGAATAGAAGGCTGAGTTAACCTTGAGCCGACTACCTGGGATTGAACCCTAGGTCATGAGCACAGTTTTGGCTGCAGTACAGCCATTTAACCACTGTGCCACGAGGCACTACAGACAGAACATTTATGATCCTCTCCGATGTAACATCACTGAGACAGTTAATGCTTGAAATCGAGAAAGAAATAATCCAGCAAGATGAAAAAGTATATTTACCTGAGACATGAACCTTCACTGTGTCTCCCGCTGCAAAGTCATTGATTAAATCATCAAAGGCTTGTGGTCAAAGCACCACTATTTTCAGATCCAGGGAAGAGGAAGGGTAGGGACAGAGAGAACGGACGAAATCGGTGTAAACAAAAGCACACCCCCTGACTGCTCTTTCAAGAAGGAATCAAAGAGCAGTGTATTTATTGTCCTCTTAAAGTTTCTCACTTACTCCCATCTCAGTGACTGCCACCCTGAGGAAGGCATCTGGGGCTTTCTCCTATTCATTCATTCATTCATTCATTCATTCATTCATTCATTCATTCATTCATTCATTCATTCATTCATTTTAATTTTATTTATTTATTGCACTTACAGAAATCAAACAGAATGCCTAGCTTTGCAGACTCTTCCTGTCCCGACCAGAAGCTCTTCTGTCTTGTTTGTACCATTCACTCCATGACTGGGTCTTGTCCTTTGCATTTCCCTGTTTGCAGAAATGGGGTCTTCATAGTAAGAATGAGCACCAGAATTAAATGGGCTGCCGTTCTATTCCAGCCAGAAGTATTAAGGGATACGAATCACCCAAATGCTTCAAAAGTTCAGTCGCATGGCCAAAACTTTAAGATAGATGAAGGCTGTTCAGCCCTTCTATGAGCCAAGAGCAGGATAGAGAAGACACATACCTTGAGATATTATAGCTTTCAGCTTGAGGAGAGACAAACACCTGGAAATTAGGAATTACAACATAATGGCTAGGCAGCTACAATTTATCATTAGGCACAGAATGAACATTATGTTGGCATGAGGTCTACAACTCGCAGTTGTCATTCCTGGAGAACTGCCAACAGCATTTCTTGAGTCTAGACTCCTGCAACACCTCTGAAGCCCAATTCTCTGTGAAGACACAAGATCGATTGCCACACAGCACCATACACACACACACAAAAGTTGCAGTGTTACAAATAATTTGCCTCTAGTCATGGCTGGTTGTGAGTTGCAAGATTTTCTTAGCTGAGCTAGCAGCACCGATTTGTGCATTCAGCCATTAATATCATAAAGTCAGCAGAGCAGTCAGTCTTCTCCCTTTCGAACGTCACCGCCATACTTCACTTTCAACAAAATAAGAAAGCTACTGTTTATTGGAGAAATAGATGGTGACAGGAAATATAATAGGAATCTAATTCTAACTAACTAAGGTAGTTGAAGAGAGAGCCATGGATGCTCCGTCACTACTCAAGAACGATGGCAGGATATATTCTCTGCTGTTCCCAGAGAAGGTCATGAAAGTAACAGGAAAGGAAGTGACATCACCAACTCAAAAATACTGGTTATAGTTTGAAGGAAGGTCGGTGCAGGCCAGAATAAAAGTCTAGGAAACCTGAGGAGGTCATTCCCCCCCACCAACACCACTACTACTTCCTTGGGAAGAACATACACCTTTTTCAGTGCACACAGTCACCTCCAACAGATTGTAGGGTGGCCAGATACACAGGAAGACAAGGATTCTGGACAGCGCTAGCCAACGTAAAGTCTTCTAGAGGTCATAGGACTACAACTCCCAGTAGCTCTAGCCAATACAGCTAACAATGAGGAATGCTTGGGAGTTGCCATCTAATATCTGGAGGGTCATACTTTGTCCAATCCTGCTTTAGGAGTTGCATTAAAAGAGACAATTGTTAGCAGAGACAACTTTTCTCATCACAGAATGATGTGTTACTGAAATCCTCTCTTTGTACCTTTATTTATTTATTTATTGCATTTATACCTCGTCCATCTAGTCAACTGACTACTCTTCATTTATATTTGATGAAGGTGCCCAGCCCCATTTGCCCAAGGTCCCCCATAACAGCAAACACTCTGGTAGATCCACTGCCAGCCTGATTTAAAACCTACTTAATTTAGCAATCAATGATGTTGAGATCAGGCATGATAACATTGAATGCTTCACACCTTCATCATGGAGGAAAATATTTATGGTGAGCTCACAGTGTGATGGTTAAGAAATATGATTGTCAGACTCAGCAACAAGAAAACAGGTCCCTTTGATTTCAAAAATTATGTGCAATTGCATGCAGGACTGTAGTGCACAGCTCTCAATAATGATGCTGGAGTTTGTGATTATCTGAGCAAGAGAGAACTTCTGACATTACAAAAAAAAGTAAAATAACATAAAATAAACAGCCATCTTCCACAGAAATTATTCTCCAATACAGTGCACTTTGTTACTTGGTATGCCCAATGATAGAATCCCTGTGTCAGAGCACATGGGAAATTTAATTCACCCAGGGCATCCTGGTCTTTAGTATAGACATTAAATGACTTGGAGTTTATAGATACCAAGTCTCCCTTCTACCTGGGATGCTGCTAAGCATGCTTCTACTGTTGCATGCAAGGGGCCAAGAGCGGGAGACCTCCTTCCCATGCTGTTGCCAAGAAATAAGGGAAAGAAAGTGGTGGAAACTGAGTAAGTCTGGGAAGAATTCAGATCCCACTGCACTATGCTAGAACTCATTTGATACAACTCTAGAACACTATTGCACAGATTCATGCACTTGTTATCATTGCTTCTCAGCTGACTTACTCATTCAGAGGTGAAGACTTTGGTACTCCAGTATCCCATTTTGCAAAAACCAGGCCAAGCTGCAAAAACAGATCAATGACCCACAGCTCAAGAGAAAGATATGGACACAGACCTTGTTAATTTGGGGGCCACTCCTCTCAAATCTAACATCCTGAATAGTTGCAGTCTAAGAAGCTCAGCTTCCTAAGCTATGCACTGATATAACTGCAGGTTTTGGTAAATCCACTCATAATTTGCCACCATGAGCACATTTCTTGTGACCACATTAAAATGCCTTTACTATAAGTCACTAGCAAGTTGTCTGAAGAGTTCCTGATATTCCAGATGGTAAATTGTTGATAAGGTTTTGAAAACTAAAACAATACATTTACTAAGAAATTGACCATAACCCACACCTGCTCCCTTATTATTGACATGCCTGGAACCACACACTATGAACAGATTAGATCTTGGTCTGTTAGTTGACTGCGCCAAACCAAAATGTTGTATGCAACATGTCATTACTCATTTATAGATAAGAACATAAAGCAGTGCATCGCAACTCTTCAGGATCTGGAGGAGTGAACCCGATCGAACTAAACACTCTTAAAGCAGCTCTCTTCTCCAGAAAACCCTCTCTCTACCTAAGTGCCTATGTGCAACTATAGCAAGTGTCATTAGCCCCAGTGCTCCTTTTCTTTTCAATATCAACAAGAAAACCAAACAAGATCTTCTTGATATAAATGTGCTTACTTTCTGTAGTGGAAAGATATTGTAAATATACATATTTTAAAGACCACAGGTCTGAAGTAGTATGCTCTACATGTCAAATTCTAGGGGGAAACCCCTGGGAAACATCTTTTATTTTACACCCAGGTTTTGACCTCTGAGAGTTATTTGTGTGGCCACACCTGAGAACTGAATACTGGGTTAGATGCAGCCTTTGATCCAGTTTGCAGAAGTTACTCTTTTCTGGACAAAGATTCCCAGAATTCTAGGGGGTTTTGTCCAAAGGATAACTTTATTTAAAGACTCCAGTCTGATCCACAAGAGTCGGACACGACTAAACGACTAAACAACAACAACTGATCCACAAAGCAGCTTTTCTATTCTTATTTTAATAGCCCACCTCTAGTTCTAACAGCTAAAGCCCTAAACAGTTTCAGACCTCAGTACCTGGCAGAACGCCTTCTTCCAGGCTGGATGTCTGAGGAGGATACTGACCCCAAGATAATCCCAGAGGAAAAAAACACATCAACCTCTCTGATGAAGAATTTTCTGTCCAACAGCTACTTATCACCTCCATTGAGAGCAAAGGTAGGCAAGCTGGACCCCTCCTTATGTTCAAAGTAAAACTGCCAGATGATTCCAGTGGCCAGCAATCATGGGAATTGTAATTCAAAATATTTGGAGCAGACCAGGCTTCCTTCATTTATCATAGAGGGCTGTGGACCATATTCTAGCAGCCATCCTCAACAGGGGTCACAAGGCCCCCTGGGACGCCCTGGCACATTGGGAGGGGAGCACAGACTGGACACAATTCTTCACACATCACCTTATTATACAATCCCGATTCAGCCTATATTTCTTTCATATTGTGTATATGGCCGTGGTCAAAAAAAAAAAAGGTTGAGAATGGTATGGACATTGCAAACACATAAAGATTGACTGTTTTGAGTTTTCTCAGTATGATTTTTTTTTTGACAAGAGATTTACATTAACTTAGTTTTGTCATGAACAAAACATGATCGTCGGGCCATTCCTGAGAACACAAGCATCTCTTCTGGCTTTCCATCATTCAAAGGGAAACTCGTATGACCTTGTGTCTCTTTGCTAGCTATTTCTCCTGTGCCCCACTTTGTTTCTCTTCTCTGGAATCTGTGCTTGAGAATCCTACAGGTTCCCTGGCCAAAAAGACTCAGCGAGCAATTAAAACACAGAACAGTCAAACTTCATTTCCAAGATTTGAATACAACACAAATAATGCCAAGCTGCTTCACTGCCAAACCTTCAGCTTCTGTTACAATTACATGTCTTTTAAATTTTCCCTGAACCTTCCTTCACCTTTACAACAACACATGACACTCTCTCCCTCAATACTCAACAATAACAATGCTTCCCCCCCTTTTTTTTTGGTAACAGCTGCTTCATGAATTAATCCCCTCCTACAGAATTCTATGGGCTGTAATAAGAGAGGATCAACACTGGTGCTGTCCATCACACTTCTGAGTGTCAACTTCTCTTTTCCTTTTTTTTTTCTAGACAAGTAATGTGCAGAACTAAAATGTGTACATTTCAAACATATGCACTTCTGTTAATGGGAAAAATCTGTAACAATGAGACAACGTGTGTACCAAAATACACACGAATTACTATGGAGGAAGAAAGAAAAAATCTTGAAAGAGAATGAGAATCAGGCTGGATAAGTTTTTTTTTAAAAAAATAGATTTTTTTTTAAAAAAATAGAATTTTAAAAAATAGAATTAAAAAAGATTAAAAAATAGAATTAAAAAAAGAGATTTAAATCACAATTTAAATGAAAAAAATCATTTTCATTTAAACTGTCAAAAATCTTTCAAAGAAAAATTAAATCGTGACTGAATTGATTTTTTCCAGTCAAACCCACATTGAAATGCTGCTGTGGGAGAAAGTGCTACAAAAATAAAGCAGATAGATTTTTACATGCCTAACTGGGGTGCAATCTACATCACACTCTAACCCACCTCCCTCGTTAGCTATGAGAATATTGGGGAAATCTGAGAACACTGGGTAAAGTGTCTTCCAGAGAAGCCTCCTTCATCACATCAACCCTCTTAATTAGGAAATCTCCTGACAATTTTGCAAGGAACCCTAGAGCTTCCTAGAGCACAAATTGAAAACTACTCAATTAGGCCACAGGGATTTTAATATGTTGAAGTGTTACATGGTTCACGTTCACAAGCAGTAAACCTGGGAACAGACACTGTAAGCATTTTCCAACAATATAGTTCCATGATTAAAGCACAGGTCTCCTTCGGATTGCAACACATCCTGGGTTGTGAAACTGGAGCAATTTGTTAAGAGTGACAAAATGAAAACAGCTTACCTAATCCTCTTCAAAAGATCCTATCAAAACGGGAATATGGCATAAGTATAAAATAAAAATAATAAAAAAAGACTAGCTCACCTTCAAACATTAAAACGGTGGATGTGAAGCAAGATTTACATTATATATGTATGTAAATAAGACTGGGATCGTGAGAGAGAGAGAGTGGAGAAAATTGCTGCTTATTACTTAGTGCTCTGCATTTAGGTGAAGCAAATGATCCCTCGGTATTTTCTATGAGAGAAATGCAAATTACAGTTTGACACCTCATTGTGTTGCCTTTTGTGCTATAAACAATTCACCCATGAATTAAAATGGAAACTAAGCTTCTGTAGAATACCTTTATGTCTTTCCATGCATTCAACTCAAAGAATCACAGGAATCCTCCTGGCACAAAGTTTAAACAGCTAATGTGAATGAATAAGGAATTTAGACAACCTCTACCCACACAGGGTGTAATTCGCGAAACATGCGGCTTCTCTTCAGCCATTAGGACTGGACCTCAGGATCGGAGCCCTGGTACCTTCAACTTGGGGAAATGGGGGACGTGGTCATCAAAGAAGAGATGGTGTCGTCCCAATGGGCCACTGTCAACTCTTGGGATGGCATGGAACCCATAATTTATTCTTTGTATTTAAAACATATTATAGTTGGGGCAACCAGCGATATCCAAAGATGCTCATTTCATTTTGTATTTACTTTAAAAATACATTCTCCATTTCTCCTACGAAAGGATGCCTATTAGCAAATGACCATGTTCAACATCAGTTTAGATTAAACACATTCCATTTTATTATTATCCAGCTATAATGATTTACTGATAATGATAATGATAAATTTACAGTGGCTGTAAATTAAAAATGTGAAACTGCACAAGCTCGGAAGATTTTTTTTTTTAAAAAAAATAGATGCAGAAATACTATTTTGCATGGGATTCCTCTAACATATCAGGAATATAGAAGCCGTGGTAAATGATGTACTGGCAGGTGGAGGGGGCAGCAAGGGAGAAATGTTCTTTGCATGCTTCATGAATGAACACATGGCAATCAAAGGTCTAAAAATTCAGGGTCTAAAATTACCCAGCTACATCACTATGCATCTTACGGAAGCAGAATATGGAGGGACAAGAGGGGAAGCTGAAGTTTAATCTTCTTGAGAAGCCAAGAGTATGAGCATTTTTCCATTTTAAGTCCATAGCAAGAGATGAGATGAAGGGCAAAGAATAAGCTGCTCATATGCACTCGGAACTAGCTGAGTCTAATAACAATAAAGGAAAGACTTACACTTTGCTTTCATTTGCTTGAGATTCTCCATAAAAAGTACAAATTTCTCATTTCTCTGCAAATCAAGGTCACTGTTTGTGCTTTCCAGGGCTTTAAACTTCTCTTCAACATCATGTTTTAAATCTGGCATTGTTTCTGGTTTTTCTTGCTTTAGCTGCAAAATAAACAAAAAGAACAAAACATAATTTAATGCAACCCTATTACCATCTTTCACAGCCAGAAGAGAAGTAAATCTATGGAAGATTTCCCTTTCACCCAGCTCCATCAAATAGCTGTTAAATTCTGGAATGGTATGGGATAGAAATAGTTATTTATACATGGTGAAATTCTCATTAATCTCTAATCACTGCACTTTTGTCACTGACTTGCTTCTAATGAAGAATTCTAGAACAATGACAGTGAGAAATGTAGTACACATTGGTGTTAGCACTGCTAAAGCGTTAGCATTGCAGGTGGATGCACATTTCAAAGCCATTAAAGAAGAAATGAAGCATCTTTAGTGGTGTTTATAAACTGCTGGCACCAAGATGCCTTAACATAACACTGAGATTGTAGAAGCATTCTGTGAAAAATTAAGTGATTCTACTGAATGAATCCAACACTGTGGAATGAAGAGTTCCTAATGTAGCCTTCTCTTCTCTCTCCACCAATATATGAACAGTGAGTGACACATGAGAATGGAAGCAAGGTACACTTTAAGCAGAAGCTGCTACAATTAGCAATCACAGGAATATCTCAAAAACACCACTTCTTTCCAAAGTCTACTTCCATCCATGAGTCCTTAATTCAGGCCTCTCCGTCTGGTGATTTAGAGCAGGGGTCCCCAACCTTTTTCACCCTGCGGACCAGCTGGGGAAGGCGGGGCACCCCCAGTGCTTGTGCGCATGCATGAACAAGCATGAGTGCAAATGGTGGCACGGGGCTTGTGTGGGTGCAAGCGCTCGTGCACATTTGCAAATGGCGGCACGGCACTCACGCAGAGGGGAGCGTGTGTGCTCGTGCGCATTCGTAAATGGTAGTGCGGCACTCATGGGTGTGCGCACGCTCATGTACAAACGGCAGTGTGGCACTCACACAGCTGGAACACAACACACATGCAAATCAGCTGTGTGGAGGTGAGTGCGTGTGCGGGGGGGCGGGAGGTCTGTCTCTGCGGCCCAGTTGGGCTCAGGCCATGGACTGGCACTGGGCCGCGGACCAGGGGTTGGGGACCTCTGATTTAGAGGAATCACAATCCAACATATTTGGATAACACTAAGAAGGGGAATGCTGCCACTGGACAGGACACCATGAAGAAAACTTAACAGTCTGTTCCAGGAGTTGTGAGGATGTCTGTCCCTTGATCTGGGAACTGCCCAACCAAATACTTCTTGAGTGTTAAGGGTGATGTAGCCAGTCATTAATATTCATGTCTGGAGCACATGTGCTAGATAGAAGCGTCTGAAGTACAAATTTAGCACAGGATGGTAATAATTTCTTTACTATGAAGGTGACCGAGGAAGAAGTACTAAAGCAAACAAAATAAAAAGGACCAAGGGATTATACAACATATAAAACGCAGAAAGGAAAAATACAGAATGTTACGACTCAGCGTTCAAGCTAAAATAAAAGAAGAAATAAGGACAGGAAGAAGACAGTTTTATTTACTGGCTGAAGAACCTGGGAGACTGGTTTGGATGAAAAGCAAGATCATAATTTAGACCTTCCACATCCAAAGTCAGGGTAGCCACAAAGATGGTGAGCTTCTGGAAGAAACAGCAGGAGGACGAAGCGACTTTAGCCAAAATTTGGTAAAGTGACTGTTTAAACTGCAAAGTTCCTTAGTCCTGTCCATGGTGGCTTGAGGACTCTGGGAGTTGCAGTAAAAAAGTAACTTTTCTCAGCATTGCATTCTAGAACACACATGGACATCACATGGAGAACTATCCAAGATTCTCCTTGTCATCTTGAGTGACCAAAGACATGATAGATAGATAGATAGATAGATAGATAGATAGATAGATAGATAGATAGATAGACAGACAGACAGACAGACAGACAGACAGACAGACAGACAGACAGACAGACAGACAGACAGACAGACAGACAGACAGACAGACAGACAGACAGACAGACAGACAGACAGACAGACAGACAGACAGACAGACAGACAGACAGACAGACAGACAGACAGACAGACAGACAGACAGACAGACAGACAGACAGACAGACAGACAGACAGACAGACAGACAGACAGACAGACAGACAGACAGACAGACAGACAGACAGACAGACAGACAGACAGACAGACAGACAGACAGACAGACAGACAGACAGACAGACAGACAGACAGACAGACAGACAGACAGACAGACAGACAGACAGACAGACAGACAGACAGACAGACAGACAGACAGACAGACAGACAGACAGACAGACAGACAGACAGACAGACAGACAGACAGACAGACAGACAGACAGACAGACAGACAGACAGACAGACAGACAGACAGACAGACAGACAGACAGATAAGAAAGAATGATTCTGAGTTGCTGGGAGATAAAGTAAGGCTGTTGGGGTTTCGTACTAGTCAGCAAGGTAACGAGATCGTAGAGAAGGCATGTTTAATAAAAAGAGATGGGAGTTTGAGGGTGAGAGAAGTGCTAGAGAGAATGAAAAGTTGTCCCAAATGAATTTAAAATCCAGGAATAAATAATATCCTTTGGAAATGGTTAATTTAATAAAATCATATTAATTCACGCAGACAGGTGTGTGGCAATCCATACCTGAGGGTTGGCTATGTGCTGAGTGTTACAAAGGCTTCAGTGTAAGACAAATACACACACATGGGGCAGTTAAAGGCTAGTGGTAGCAAGCGATGAAGAAAGCAAAGAAGTGAAGACTATTAAAGAAAACAAGTTTATTCCTGTGGCTCTTTAAAGAGCCCTTCAGCTAAATAGTCAAGCAATAAGACAAAGGGCAATATTGGCATCGGTATACAAGAGAGCAGTAAGACAATGGAGTTTGGGGTTTGAAGTCCAAAAAGGAAAAAAAAGAAAAAGAAAAAAAAAAGAAATGCTACTCTCTGGCAATTAAATGGATGACCAGCCTGGCAAGTGTTAACTGGACAACATTTAACAATGTAATTCAAGAGAAACTGGAGAGAAAGTTCATGTTCTTATTGGATTTCCTCTGCCCTGCTCTTGGTTCCACTCCAGACAAACATTGTTTTAGGTGTGATTACACATACATACACACCCTTCAAATTATCTCCTTCCTGAAAGCAACAAATTATCTCTGAAATAATGGCAGCTCTTTAGTCAAATGATTTCTACAACAACGGGCACTCCAAGACAGTCCTCTGTGGTTGTTGCTCTTAAGTTGCTTCCAACATACAGGACCTCTATGAATCAATAAGCTCTTCAAGGTCTTATCAAGACCTGTTGGAATGTCCTTTGCAAAGGTCATCTACCGGCTCCACAGGTCCTCCCAGGCCATGGGTCTCCAGGCAGTCCCTCCAAGGGGGGCCTGGAGTTAGTGTCCACCAGAAGTGGGGTCTTCTTTGCTGTGTTGCCAATGCTCTGAAACCAATTCAATATTACAGCTACTGAATTCTTCTGTTGTCATGATTTCTAAACATTTTGCAAAATGGCCGCTGTGTGTACAAAATGGCTCCCCGCTGTGTTTAGGAGCCATTTTTTGCTTTACAGGCACCCAAAAATGGCCGCCCCGTGGAGGATTTTCGCTGGACGGTGAGTTTTCAGCCCATTGGAACGCATTGAGGGGTTTTCAATGCGTTTCAATGCGTTTTTTAGTTTCGTTTGATGATGTTTTCGCTCTATAGCGATTTCGCTGGAACGAATTAACATTGTCAAGCGAGGCACCACCGTATTTGCCTATCTAAGACTATGGATATTTCTTCAACAATTTTGATTCCTTCATCTCAACCAAATCCAGCTGTTTGTATGATATGATCTGCATACAGATTAAAGTTAGGGAGATGAAGTACAATCTTGGGTGACACCTTTGCCAACTGAGAACAAGTCTATTTCTTCAAATGCTGTGCTAACACACAGCTTTAGACAGCACTTCCTGTCTAAAGTATAGGTTATGCATCCGGACAATTAAGTGTTGTGGCACACCTTTTTCTTTTGCGCCTGTAGCTTTTTATAGTTCACCCAATCATTCCCCTTCTGGATGCACACCTTAACCTGGTGAATGGGTTTAAGTTTATCAGTGAAGGTGGGAGCAATATTGACAGAAGACTAGGCTTCATAACAAGTCTGGACTTCTAATAAGAGCCTCGTGGCGCAGTGGTTAAAACGCTGTACTGCAGCTAAAACTGTGCTCACGACCTGGGGTTCAAATCCCAGGTAGCCGGCTCAAGGTTGACTCAGCCTTCCATCCTTCCGAGGTCGGTAAAATGAGTACCCAGCTTGCTGGGGGGGCAATGTGTAGCCTGTATAATTAAAATTGTAAACCGCCCGGAGAGTGCTTGTAGCGCTATGGGGCGGTATATAAGTCCAATAAATAAATAAATAAATAAATAAATAACAGGGTCACTCAAGTCAGACTAGTCAATGCTGAGACATCTGGCTAAGTTGCATACCTTCTCTTCTCTTCTCTTCTCCTCTCTTCTCTTCTCTATTAATAAGGTCTTGACTCTCATGTACAAAGCCCTCCATGGTTTGGGCGCACATTATTTAGTGGGTGCAGTATAAGAAATTCAATCAATCAAACAATCAAACAATCAAATCAATCAATCAATCAATCAATGCTGATAATTCTAATGGGTAAAGGCACAGAGAAATTCATGAGGAGCAGCTATTGAGCAGCAAAACATTAGAGTGGTTCTTCTTAACCTTTTTGAAAGAAATGCCCCCTTGAGCCATTGAGGAAGTTATCATCACCCCCCTCCCCACGGTGATGATTTCTTTCTTTCTTTCTTTCTTTCTTTCTTTCTTTCTTTCTTTCTTTCTTTCTTTATTTATTTATTTATTTATTTAAGACACTTAAATCCAATGACCCCTGAAAACAAAATTCAATTCCAAGAAAATGAAATGCCCCCCAAAAAGTAACATTTAATGATTTAGTTGCAAGTGAATTTTAAGACGCAAAAAGAAATATAAAAAGGGCATAAAAATAAATGCAGGAACTAAAAATTTCAAGACAA